AAAAAAAAAAAAAAAAACAAGGCATTATTGACTGTGGAACAACTAATTGTTAACTGCGATTCGTTCAAACAAATAGCAACTGAATTATCTCACGAACCATACCGTATGCATAAAATTTTTCTTTTGTTTTCGTTTTTTATGTGTCGAAAACGATACTTTACATTTTTTTAAAAATAGATTTTAATGTATATATAACAAATTCATGGCATACACTTTTTTTTTTAGCTCAAACTAGTGAGTATATTCACATCAAGGAAAAAAAAAAAACTACTGACTAAGGCGAGGACTGAAATTGTAATAGAATTAATTTAGTGAACAATTTTTTCTCCCCTGCTCTTGTTTCAGCTGCAAAAATAAAAGATAAGCTTTGAGTTATGCGTGTAAAATTAATGGGTGCAAAAATAATGAAGGACGTTCAAGGAGACATAACGGATTCTGGAAATTCAATGAAACTTGATGGTTTTGACAATGAAAGCTTGTCTTGACGTCATTGAACGATGATAATAACGAGTAAAGGAAAAAACTATAGGTTTTTTCCTTTTTCTTTTTTTTTTTGGAAAAATGATAGAAATAGGGACAAAAAAAGAAGGATAAGAAAGGGGAAAGTGAGAAACAGAGTATTAATAATGCGTTAGAAATGAACGTTTTTTTTTTCGCCCTGTCCAAAACGATACTTCAATTCTTAAGGATGGATTTTTGAGTGTTTTTTTTTCTCTTTCCAACAAACAGAAAGTTTCTCGTTTTTATGAAGGAATAAGTGGTGAAGACGAAAGAAGGCGAAGTAAATGAAGAAGAAGAAAAGAAGATGCAAAAAGAAGCAAAAAAAAGAGGAATAAGACGAAGATGAAGATATATAAATTATTTCTTTCATTGCACGGGAAAATTAATCTAATTTTTGACGTTTGCCATTTAAAAATCCTTTCACATTTTCTTTTTATAGTTTCTCTTCTTTTGGTTTCAAAAAGCTAAAAAAGCAAAAAGAAAAAAAAAAAGAACAAGTAAGAAAGAAGAAGAAAACTTTGTGTTTGCTTCAGAAGAATAAACGGAAAAAAAAACAGATAAAAATAAAGTGTTTTGTTCACTAAATTATGAAGTGGAGAACAGTAATAAAAAATTTTAGTTTCTTACAGAAGGAATTTTCAACATATTCGTGTATCTATCTGAACGACTGATTGACGACTGACTGAATGAGTTAGTAAATAAGTGTGTGTGTTTGTGTGTGTCTGTTGGTACGTCAATGTCTGTGTGTACGTGTATGCGTGTGTGTGTGTGTCTGAGTGTTTCAGTGAGTGTATATTTATCAGGAATGTTTTAAACTGAAAATTTTTTGGTATGAAATACCCGAAACAAGTAAATAAAAAAAGAAAAAAAGAAAGGAAAAAAACTGGAGTATAAAATTCCCCCTATTTTTTTTTTTTTTCTGGTGAAATTTTCAATTGATATAGTAGAGAAGATCATCATCACTATCATCATCACCATCACCACATCGTCGTCAACAACAACAACGGCAACAACAACAATGACAAAGACAGAAATATCATTCTTAAGAGAACAGAATTCTTTTATGAAAAATAAGATTACTGATAACAACAAAAATTGGATGAGCATTTGAAAAGCTGTAAGCAGACAGAGAAGAAAAAAAGTGAAGAGGGACAGTTGATTGAGGAGGATTTGCAATGTGAAAAAAGATGAAAAAAAAAATAACGAAGAGATAAAAGAAAGTTAATAAAAGAAAAAAAAAAAAATTTTTTTTTTTTTATCTGTTTGATAGTGTTCCGAGGAATTTTGCAGATGAAGAAGAAAAAATTTTTTTTTCAGATGTGATGTTTGTTGAGGATTTTCATTGTTAGATTTTTCGGAATGTATTGAAGAAAAGTGAGTGAACCTCTATAGTGAGACGATGGTCTGAGACGGATATACAGAGATATACAACTATATCAGTAGTCTGTGTTTTGGTTTTTTATGTGTATCTGTGTGTCTGTGTTGGCGTCTATGCTATATTATTGC